TTCTTATCTATTTGGTGTTATGTTCCCTGTACCTGAATAGGCAACACTTTATATTTAAGAAAACTTCAATAAAATATTAAAAATGTTTTCTCATTTTTCTAGGTCCAGAATTTGTATATTTGGTCTTTTTATAGTGTCCCGTGTATCTTATTTGTACTTAATCATTTAAACATTTTATCTACTCTTGCCTCCAGCTCTTAGTCCTATCTTTGATCCATTCTACCAGTGACTTTATAAGACCTTTTAATTTACTGCTTTCCATTTCCAGTAACTTTTCAGTCTAATTTTATTTTACCTTCTACGTTTATAACTATCAACTTTATTTCAGTGAGCTGACTGTATTTTCTTAAGAGTTATTTGTGCCTTCTTTTGATTTCATTGAACATCCTTATAATCATTCTTTAGGAATTATCTCTCATTAGAAGCCATTTCTGTGGGAAATGGCTAGTAACTAGTAACTCTGGGGTCATGTTGCCTTGTTTTTTTTTCATGTTTGTTTTTGCCTTTATACATACACATGCATACACACGAAGTTTTGGACAGAGTCTCATATAGCCATCTCCTTCAACACTTGCCACTTGATTCCTCTGCCTTCACATCCCAAATGTTCTAATTACACATACATACCACAAACCCTGGCCTCCCCTTTCAGTTTTTTAAGTTTCTCAATTAAATTTGAAATTTAAGTTGTAAAGCTTTTTATTTGTAAAATTTATTCTTTTGAACATCCATAGGCTTTGTAGTATCTCATTGTTCGTCCCCGATGTTGACAGTTCTTTAGTCCTAAAGGCTTTTCAGTTTATTTTTATTATACTAACTTTTAACCTGATTTTAATTTCAGGTTAACATTAGGTGATAGCCTTAATTTTAAACACGCCCTTAAATGTTGAAAAATAAATCCTCCAATGGGTTGTATTTTTATTGCCAGATCTTTTCTTACTCTGCTTATGATTTTTTCAGACTGATCCATTTCATACTAAGTAGTTTATTAAAATGTTTGACTGCTGATTCACAGGTATATCCATGAAAGATTTCAATCATCTGAAACACATCAAAACTTGTTTTGCTGAAATTTTCATGTGCAATAAAAAATGTTCAATGTAATGTATGAATTTTAGATTAAAGTAGTTCATCCATTCAGAGTTTCTGTAGCTTCATATTTACTTACTTATTGAAACGTTATTGTTCAAGCAGGCCTTACTGGGATTACATGATTGGCCTGACATAGCCTCCTGAGTAGCACGATTGTAATATGAAACTATGCCTGTTTTTATTAACACATAAATGTTCCATAGTATTAGAACATTGCTTTCTTTTGTATACATCTCTTACCTCATCATGATTACAGCATGCTCTGGGAAACATACACCACTTAAAGTATGTCTTACACCAATACTTCATTAGCATTTGCATGGTGCATCTTTTTACTTTCATTTTTAAATTCAGTATCTCTTGCTCAGTTTCCTTTAACTAGAGCTTTGAGTCTATAGTTAATTAATGATACCATTACATTTAATGGACATCATTAGCATATCCCTCTTGTACAGATAGAACTATTTGTTTTTGCTTTGTATGTTTTCTGTTTTCATTTACTTTTGTGTGAGCCAGAGGACAACTTGCATGAGCCAATTTACTCCTTCCACCAAGTGTGTCCTAGGGATTGAACTCATGTTGTAGGGCAGGAAGACAAGCATCTATACCTGTATTTCTTGCTTTGTTAGTTTTTTCTTCTCGGCCTTCCTTATGTTCCACTTTAATTGCTCTAGAAAGGCAAGCTGTATGTCCAGGGTTTTGGGGGGCTGGTTGCTCTAAGAATTATGATATACACCTTTATCACAATCTACTTTGTATACTAAATCAACAAAGCTTCTAACTGTGCAGTGTCACTTAGTATATCCTGATTGTTCAGTCTCACAATCTCTGCCTCTCTGCCTTCAACTGGAGTGTTTAGTGTGTCTACATTCAATATAATTAGGATTACCAATTGATTTTGCGGACATCTTTGGTATATTCATTCTCTATAGTATGACTGTAGTCAGCAAGCAGATTCTTAGATAATGTACAATCTAGATAGAATGAAAAACATTCTACTTGTTCCTTAATCCAGCACATGGCGTTTTGAGTTCTCAAACTGTACATACACAGAAGTTAGACAGAGAAATAGAGGTTTGACCAAAACACTAACGAGAATTTATTCAAACTCTGTGTTCAAAGACATTCTACATGAAGTTACTTAACTATACATCCATTGGAACACTATCAACAGTGAGTTGTCCAAACCTCTTCTTTCTTAAGAAAAAGAACCTCAAACATTTTAGAAATCACTGAAGTTTGTTCAATTTCTCCCTGCTTTATGAGTTATTAAGGAAGAGATTAACAAAACCAAGTTTGGAACAGTAACCTGGAGAATATGGTGTCAAAAGCCCAAATTGACTCCAATGATGAGGCATCAGCATTACAAATGCCCATAATAGTCACAAGTACCCTTTCATCTTCAGAATATTTTTACTTTCTGACAGTGAAATAGTAAAAATAATTATAAAAAACTACCACTTACTAAACATGAAATTTAGAACAATAATGTTTCACATACATTTAATGTTCACAAGCATGAGGTAGTACTATCTCCCATTTTTCATTTAAGGAAACTGGGTAAATAAATGGTAAGTTTCAAGGATTTGCTCCAAGGCAGCAGCAAGTACCAAAGCTGGGAATCAAATTCCACATGCATGATTTAGGTCTTTCCAAATCTAGAACCTGCATCTTCTGTCCATTCTTATATGTGATTTTACACTTGGGTATGTGTGTAAATAGGGAGAGTAGATGGGAAATTCAGGAGGAAAGCCTGACATCTACTTTTGTGACTAAAACAAGCAAGGCAAGGTTGAGGAATCCACTTGTAAATGTGAAAATCTTAAGGGCTGACAAGAAAAATTTAAAGAGCTAAAAAAGTGGCTGTAAAATCTCAGAAGCAAATAAATTTGCAGTCATTCGAAAGCCAAAAGATTTAAAACAATATGGTCAAGTACTCCAAGAATTTAACTATACACTCAGAAAACCACCATCCCTAGCCCAAAGTGCTAAGCGTTTACACCCATTCAGACAAGTACTTGGAAGTACATAAAGTATTTAAGAAAAATTGGACACTTATGCTCAAGTGACACAGTGTGTTGGCCTTATCAAGTTTCTGAGACTTCTTCCTCCAAAACAGGTCAATAGACTTATGTTAGAGACAACATGTGTATTTAAAGTAGCAATTTTATTTGAGTTAAAATTATTTACAAAAACCCAAAGACATACTTCATGAAACTGGTACAAACTATTTTTTTTCCTGCCGTTGGCTTTTGCTCCAAAGATCACAGCTGAGAAATACTGTATAAAATAAAAATAGGATTGGATTCAGAAAAGTATCCTACTGTTCTAATATCCAACTGGTAGTATTTACAGAAATATTTACAATGGAAAAAAGGTTACCTTAAAACTTTAGTTAATTTGCAAGTCAGCCTCAAGTACCCTAAAATGAGAGTTCTCTGAGGGTTAAAAACACACAAATGCACTGCAATTGGTAAGGTGGTACCTTCCTCACAAACCACCCCACCAAAACCTGCATCTCTTATCAGTGCTTGACAATTAGTTATTATTTTTAAAACAAAACAAAACAAAAAACTGTTAAACACTGAGGTAAATCAATTATCAAATGATTACCAGTGTAACAGAAAAAAAAAATGTAATTCGCCCTGATTGCTCTCATCCAACTGCTTACTGTTCCTTACCATCTGCCACAATTAAGAATCTGTTCCCCAAATCCAATGATTAATAAATATCAATGTATTTTAAAATAATTAATTAAAATACATCTAAGGAAATCTGTGGATATAATTTACCAGTATGTTTAAAAAGTTGCTAAATTAGTTTGGTACTCAGGGCAGATACAATCTCAATCTTTACCACATTACACTGGCATTACTGTGTTCTTAAAAGGTGATGGGTAGGGGTTTGGGTTGGTAGAAGGAAGAAAACAATTTGCCTAGATTCAGTTACTTCCTTATAGATTTCCCAACAATCTGCATTATCAAAAATAGGAAGACAATAGAAGGCAGCCACTGCATTTAAAAAACATTACAGCTGGCACTGATACAAGAGCCCCGGTTTGTTACTTTATACAAGGAAATAACAAAGTCTAAAATGAGTCAAAATTAGACTTTTAGCTATTTTCCCCAATACACACCAAACTAATATTTATTATGGCTTCAAGTTTTACAAATCCAATGAAGAAACATAATGTAACTATCTGAAAGGTAACTAAAAGTATTAATGAAACATCTCTGGAAAGCCTGTCCTCAGGCCAATTAATAGAGGGGAAAATGTACAACCAGTGGTCTGAACAATAAAAAAAAAACAAAACAAAACAAAAAAAAAAACCTACAAAATTTAACCTATAAACATGTTCTGTGTGTTCCACAACTGTTTTCTAAACAACTGCTCTATGAACAAAGAATCTGAATAAAAAGTGTCTTCTCTACACCAGCAATTTTAAGGCTTTGCGCTTATGCAATTGATCCTGTCACTCTATAGAAGAATATACACGCTATCTGGAAAAACGGATTCCACATTGGTGTTTTAGCTTCCTTATATTTACTGTACTGAACATTAGAAAATATATCTAGAGAACTTCCCTTAAAACTTAACACTGTTTCAAGAGTCTCCCTAGCATTAAGTGTAAACTACCCTGGGTTTGTCTATTTTTGCTTAATCCTTTAACAGGGCACATTATCTTATATAATATAATATTCCCTCAAACTGCTATTTGTTTTCTTGTGCCTATAGCTATGACATGTAATGGTATGATATTGAATATGGTCATGGTCTCAGAAGTGAAAAATAGTTCAACACCCAAACCTAATCAAGAATAAAAAAATATACTATTAATCCCTTGTGTCTTTGGATTCCATCTAATTTTAAATATAGACAGTAGTTCAGGGAACAACAACCAAAAAAAATTCACAAAATTATTAAAAGCTTTATTTACGATTGGAATCATTCAACAAAAAGCAAAAGCAAATGAGCCTGAAAAAGGAACTAAGCTGTTGTCTAGAATGTCCTCAGAACATTCAATACCTCAGTAGCTAAGCTGCCTTTGCACCTGACTGGCATGACAACAGTGGCTCAACATACACAGCAGTTGCACTAACAGCAGCACAAACTTTCCCCTTTAAACCTTGCCCAAAATAAAGCAAGGAAACAAGGAGAGGGTATAGACTCTGCCAAGTTATGTGTATTTAAATACTGCATGGGATTGTTAACAGCCTGAACCTTTTCCCTCATTTTTGATAGCTGCAGATTGATGTAGTAACTGTCATTTAGCAAATGCAGAATGCATGACGAAGAAATCGGGTGATCATAAAAATCCAAACACGAATGATACTGATGAATGTTCTTGGTATATCTTCAAGGACTTCTTTCATGTCTTTTCTTTGTCTACAGATAGCTCCAGCATTACCAAGCACCTGAAGCAAAGGTAAAGCAGCTAGCAATGTTCCAAATACTCAATCACTCTAGAAATAGACTTCTGGCCTGTTGTTCCAACAGCACACTAAAAAGGGAAGAAAGGAAATGATGGTTAACGCTTGACATTTTACATGTATTAAACCAAGTCTACTTTCTAAACAGTAGAAATCATCCCATTAGTAATAGAGCATTTGTCACAATGTTCTGGCCAACATAGGGTGGTTCTTCCATTCCACCCCATTATCCTTGCCACAGTGGATTAAATTTTGGGCCTATAAACCAGAATGTACCTTTCTATAAGATGCTTATATTAGACGGTTTGCCACAGTGAGGAAGAGCCTGACACTATGGCCATTACTATTTTCATCGTCAATGTGTTATATTTAAATTTAAAAACACATAAATTAGCCAGATCCTACCGTTCACACCTAATTCCAGCACTGAAAGGCTGAAGCATGAGAATTGCTAGCCTGGGCTACAGTATAAGATTTTGTCTGGAAAACAATAAAAAATCATATAAACTGCAATATGCAATAAAAGTTACTTACAGTGAGATTCATGAAGCTTAAGAATTTTTTAAGCATCTCTGTCATTATAGAGAAATCTCCTTCTGGAAGATATTCCCTCACTGTAGTTACATTGATCTGAAGAAACAGATTAAAAAGTTAGTTGGCAGAAAACGATACTGTAACTCAGCCAATGCTGTTGACCCTGCTACATATCCTATGGTAAGCATCTAAAAGGGCCCTACAACACCTAAGTTATTTCCATTCCACATTCACTTACCTATGTATAAGCATGTTTGGGTCCATTCCCCACTCCATATCACCCTACCCACAGGAAAGGGAAAAGGCAAGGCTAGCAAGAGCTACAAAGAAATATATCTGTGAATATTTATTTTTGGAAATGCAAAGAGAAAGGTCTGAAATATAAACTACACTATTGTTAGTATGATATGGAAAGGATAGGAGTTCTACAAGGACCAAATATATCCGGGCACAGGGCCTTTTCTGAGACTGACACTCAACCAAGGACCATCTATGGATATAACCTAGAACTTCTGCTCAGATGTGGCCCGTGGTAGCTCAGTAACCAAGTAGTTTTCCAAAGTAAGGGGAACAAGGACTATTTCTAACAGGATCTCAAGGGCAGGCTCTTTGACCTCCCCACCCCCCAAGGGAGGAGCAGTCCTGTTAGGCCACAGAGGAGGACTTTGCAGCCAGCCCTGAAGATAACTGAGAAAGCAGGGTCAAATGAAAGGGGAGGAGGTCCTCCCCTATCAGTGGACTTGGAAAGGGGCAGGGAGGAGACCAGGGAGGGAGTGTGGGGTTGGGGAGGGAGTGAGGAAGTGGGATACAGCTGGGACACAGAGTTAACAAAATGTAACTAATAAGAAAAATAAAATTAAAAAAAAAAAACAAACTACACTGTTAACTGTGTAGACAGACTATACTCATAGAGCTGCTTGTAAAACAGAGGGATTAAAGAAAAATCTCCATGCTACAAAGACAAATCTTTAATACATCATTTAAATATATCATTTATCAATTATCCCAGGAAATATAATTATATTTTATTGTGATAATTAGCAAAAGCAGGCATTTATTTATACAAACAACTGCTGTAAGAAGAAACAATTATAGGACTTGATTCAAAGTTTCTATTTCATTATGTTTAGAAATGCTTAATTTATACTCACTTATATAGACCTATAAGATAGGATAAACATACTGAAATCTATACACCTAAAGAAGATAAACAAGAAAGAGGACCAGGGGTACGATGATCAATCCTCACTTAGAAAGACAAATGGGATGGACACTGATGTAGGAGCAAACAAGTGAAAGACTCTACCTAGCAGTGTATCAAAGCAGATATTAAGACTCATAACCAAACCTTCAGCAGAGTGCAGGGAATAAAAAAAAAGGGGGGGGGTAGTTAATATGACCTGGAGAGGACAGGAGTTCCACAAGGACCAAATATATCTGAGCACAGGGGTCTTTTATGAGACTGTTTCTCCAAACAAGGACCATGTATGGATGGAACCTAGAGCCTCTGCTCAGATGTAGCCCTCGGTAGCTCAGTATCCAAGTGGGTACCCTAATAAGGGGAACAGGGACTGTTTCTGACATGAACTCAATGGCGGGCTCTTTGACTCCCCCTCCCCCCCCCCCCCGGGAGGAGCAGCCCTGCTAGGTCACAGAGGAGGGCTTTGCAGCCAGTCCTGAAGACACCTGATAAACCAGTATCAGATGGAAGGGGAGGAGGTTCTTCCCTATCAGTGGACTTGGAAAGGGGCACAGTGGAGATGAGGGTAGGAGGGTGGGATTGAGAGGGAAAGTGGGAGTGGGATAAAGCAAGGATACAAAGTTAACTGTAACTAATATTAAAAAAATAAAAATTAAAAAAAATGCTTAATTTAGCTGGCAATGGTAGTACACACTTTTGATCCCAGAACTTGGGAGGTTGAGGCAGGTGGATCTTTGCGAGTTCAAGGGCAGCCTGGTCTACAGATAGCCAGATACTACACAGAGAAACCCTGTCTCAAAACAAACAAACAAAAAACAAAACAAAACAACAACAACACAAAAACAGCAACAAGAAGAAGCTTAATTTAAAGCCTCTGAAAGAATAAGTGAAAACGACCTTCTGGGCCAGGTCATCTAAACTAAAGAAAACAACAGTTTAAAGAGATGACATAAAGGATAAAAAGAAAGCCTGCGATTTGGCTTCTGTTGATGGGTACAAGGAAGAAACTACTTACTACTCTAATTGAGATATAAGCCTCAGTTCCCTTTCTAAAATTCCTCCCCAAGAATACCTACATAATTATAGAGTGAAATAAGGGGATGAAACACCCCAGAAAAGATGTAATAAACTCCTAAAATAGGGGCTAAAGAAAAGGCTCAGCAGTTGAGAACACTGGCTGTTTTCCCAGAGAACCTGCATTCGATTCCCAGCTCCTACACAGTAACTCATAATTGTCTCTAACTCCAGCTCCAGTGAATCTGATACTCTCTGGCCTCCAGCCACCAGTCACATATTTGATGCACAGAAATACATGCAGACTATGCTGGTAGGTTTCTGACAACTTGCCACACACTAGAGCCATCTTGAAAGAGAGAACACCAACTGAGGAACTGCTTCCATCAGATTGACCTATAGGCAAACTAAACATTTACAGTGGCTGTGGGAAGGGCACTTAAAACATTTATAATATAGAAGGTTCAAAAGGAATAATACAGCATAGACTATTTGAGAAACTTAATAGCTATCCAAGAGGCATGCTGGCTTTGGTAACTAGAGAAGCAGGCTTAACTATAGGTTCTTAAAGTAGTAACTAAATCACTCCATTGCTGTTGACAAGCCAAAGACAGAAAAGTTATATGATTAGCAAGAGCTCTGAAGAAAGCTAGATCTTGTGATAAGAACCTACAAGCAGTGAGGAGACTGGCCATAACAAATGCTCACCAGTCAGAGTGGGCAACAGAAAGTGAGAACAGACTTGTTTGGACTTCCTAAGCATGGGGCCACAGAACACTGGCAGCTCTTACTGCACATGACTATAGGCTGCTTTACCTCTTCCACATCCCCTTAATGGGAAAGTCAATTAATTGTATATTTGTGGTAGCACCTAGTTTTCTAATTATAAGGATCGACAAGGCAACTAATATATCATATTTGTGGATGTAAGAATCCTCAATATTTTCTACGAATTCAGAACCCCTTGTTTTAGGAACACAAAAGCTATAGACAGGGCTGGAGAGATGGCTCAGAGGTTAAGAGCACTGAATGTTCTTCCAAAGGTCCTCAGTTCAATTCCCAGCAATCATGTGGTGGCTCACAACCATCTATAGTGAGATCTGGTGCCCTCTTCTGGCATGCAAACACACATGCAGGCAGAATACTGTGTATATATAAATATATATAAAAAGCTATAGACACTCATAATAATGGCTATATATCAAACTAACACAACTTTTCTTAGTATAGTTAATGTGTCCCAATGTGTTTTATCACAGCAATTAGAAACTAAGGCAACCACTGACCTTTCACTTTATCTACCTGTGCCACATATTCCAAAGAGAGCATTCACAGTAACTCCAAGTCATAGTCACATTGTATTTTTAATGTTCATATTTGTTTTTCCAATGTCAACTGACAGTCCAATACCTATAATCTCCACTTCTGTGTGACAGCATAATTATATAGACATAATTATAGTCTTAATTGTATCATTATACTTCTCAGAGATAATTCCTGACGATCTTAAGTCACTAACAATAATCTCATTTTCCTAGCCTGAAATTGGTTCAGAGGGAAACATGTCGTCCAATGCTCAGCCAGACAGATAAGAAATCCAAGAATGATATCTTCAAAGAAAACAGGGAGGAAGTCCTGTGAGACATTATTTGAATAGATGGCACCTTAGGTATTGTCATCTAATAACCATGACAAGTGTAGATACTTAAAAATACTTCACTTTGATGATTTTTAATTATATGTCAGCATGTGCATGTGGGTTTGTGCAGACTGCAGACGATGGTAGAGGCCAGAGGCATTGTATACCTTGGGTCTGTACTTAAAAATGGATGTGAGCCACTTGAAATGGGTGCTAGGAACTGAACTCCAGTCTTCTGAAAAGCAGCAAGCACTCTTAACAGTTGAGCCATCTCTCCAGCCCATGAAGAGTGCTTTTAACCAAGGAAAAGGACAACAAAATGTGTGCAGAAGTTACCCTTTTGAGCCACTAAAATCGGCCCAATTTGAGTTGGCCAGCAGAACACAGTTCTTATACCCCACCCCGCCTTTTTCTAAAAAGATCAACTACAGGACCAGCAGGGACTTAATCATCCACACCAAGAACTTTCTTGTTACACCTAATACAGTCTTCCTTTAGAATGTGCCCTGGAAAAACCAACAAATACTTTGAGGTCTGTAACATTCCCCAGTACTTTAACTTCCTACGCGTACATCCTTTTTATGACAGTAAAAGCATTCTCATTAGTTTGGTTTTTTGTAAGACCAAGTCCCTAAGGCCAGGCTAGGCTTAAATTCTCTATTTAGCCTAGGATAATCTTCAACTTCTGATCCACTCCTTCATCACCCAAGTTCTGGAATTCCAGGCATTAACTGCCATAACCATTTAAATAGTACTAGGGACTAAACCCAGAGGTTCATGCATAACTAAGCAAGCACTTTAGTAGCTGAGCTACATCCTGAGGCCCACTAGCTTGCTTTTGAATATCTTAAACACCTTGACTCTGACAGGTATATCACTTCTCAAAAAAGCTATGAAGAACAACAATTCACTCTATCTCAAATCTTACTATGAAAGCCTCTATTAGAAAGAAAACAAAGATGTTCACTGCATTAAAAAAATTTTTTTAAAGAAAAATGTGCCTACAAAATCAGACATTTTTCTTTCACAGAGAAATAAATGACTATTTAAATAACTCTGTGATCAGCCAAAATCTCTTTTGAACTAAAAGGCGTGTATGAATGAGGAAATTTTTTAAGTAATTAAATGCACCATGTAATGACATGAAGTTGTTGACAACAATCTTTTAAAGACACATAAGCATTTTTGAACTAGTCACTTACTGGACTTTCCTGGCAGAGACACCCAAGAAGCAGAGCTGTGTAGGAGGCCACGATGCAATCCTCCATGTGTTTGCCAGCATGTTGAAGGGCTGAAAACAGTTAAAGAGTTATAATAGTGTACAACTGATAAAAACTCTGTAATTTCAATTATTTTCTTCTCACCTTAAAAGCTACTCTATGTGATATATGAATAATTCAGTATCCCAAATTAATAAAAATTAACTCAAAATAAATAGGGGCCTAAATAAAAGAACTGAAACATAAAGATTGGTTTTTTTAGAAGGACACCACTAAGAAAGTGAAAGACAACTCACAAAATGGAAGTACACAACCATTATCTGATAAGATGTTCAGAATACATAATTATTTCAATTTAACAACAAAAGACAAATAACCAGAATAAAAAGTAGGTAAGAGACTCGAATACATATTTCTTCAAATGAAATTTTAAAAATGCCACCAATGACTAAGGGAAAAACAAAAAACAAAAACCTTTAGGGTAACCCTGAAGGTCTGAATCAACTGGAACCCTCATATACTGTTTACTGGCTAGCAATACCACACTGGAAAACAACTAACATCACTGTCCTAGAGAAAGTAGAAACAATTCAAATGTGTATCAATGGACTAACAAAATGTAATAAGACTGTGCAATGACTATATGCAGTCATATGCATATACACATATATACTTGACCATAAAAGTAAGGAATATCATTCTAACAAATGCCCCAAAATGCACCTAATTGAAATAAGTTCTTGGGGGGGGAGCACATTATGAAATGTGTGAAGAAGGTAAACCCATGGGTAGAGAGCAAGTGGCATATCATCTGTTGCCAGTGGCTGGGAGAACAGGAAATGGAGAAGCTGGCTGCCAATAGATACAAAGTTGCTTTAGGGCTAAAGGTAAGATGTTCAACATTAGATAATAGGAATGAATACACAATTCTATGACTACAGTAAGCTACTTCATTACTCACTTAAAGATAATTTTACAGTCTATGAATTATAGCTCAATAATCAATTATTTTTTAATAAGACTGCTAAAACAAAACTATGATTATAGTATGTACTAAACTACCAAAGTTTATCTGGATTGAACCTGTGGCCTTCAAGTAAGAGACTATGACAAAACTTAGTAGCTAAGTTTCTTAGAAACAAAATTTTCTTAAGAGTATCAGAACTCTTAAGTAGCTTAATAGAAAGAGAATAATAGAAGGAGTAGCTTAATAGAAAGAGAAGAGGCTCAACAGCAATTTCCTAAGTGGAAAATGTTGAACAAAACCTTAGTAAGGCAGTGGTGGCACAGACCTTTAATCTCAGCACTCAGGAGGGAGGCAGGCAGATATTGAAGAAGTTTGAGGAGAGCCGGGTCTACAGAGTGAGTTCCAGGACAGTCAGAGCTATGGAGAGACCTAGTCTTGATAAGCCAAACCAGAAAACCCCAAAACTTCAAGAGTAGAGTAACAAATAGCTATTTTGCAGAATTTACATATAAAGCAAGTATCATAATTACTGGAAATAGTAGGTAGTCGATAATTCAGTAGTAAAGACAGTGCCTCTAGCTAAGTCTGTATTGTTCTTTACCTAGAACTATTGTATCCAAGAACTACTACTGTAAATTTCGACAAAATACCTCAGTTTAAGGTGAGGCAGATAAAAGAAATCTGAGAAATTCATCCCCTCCCAGTTAGAAACATGGTCTCATTATATAACCCAGGTTGGCCTCCAACTCACATTTCTTTGGCCTCGGCCTGTATCAAGTGCTAGAATTATAGATGCACACTCTCACACTCAGATTAACTGCTACTCTTTACAGAGTAAAAGAGAGGAAGTACCAAGAAAGAAAAGTGACCTTCCACTGACACACACACTGCTAGGAAGAATTACTGTAATTCCAAAGCTTAACTAGATAAAGCTATAAAGATGTTGTTAAATAAATTGTAACAATATGTTAATCAAATGTTTTGAAGAAAAAAAACCCATTATTTTCACTCTGAATATATTACTACTCAAGATAAACATGCCTTTATTGAGGTCAAGTTCTTCATCCTCCTCTTCTTTCTTATGTTTCTCGTCTGTGCCATCAGTCTTTTCAGTTGACACCCACTGTATTTCTCCACTTGTTTCTTGCCACTCTCCACTCTTATCATGCTGAGTGGTGGGAGCATCTTTGATCAACTCATCTGTTTTACTTTCTGCCAACTGGGCTGCTCTCTCTCGTTCAAGAAATAGCTGATAAAAATTATTTTTGAAAAATCATCAAAGAGATCAATAGGTAGTCCCTGTGGTCAGCACTCAAGACATGAGCAAAACTAAATGACTGCATTTATAAATTTACACAAACACACACAATTATAATTGAACACACACACATTTTATAATTAAAGAAGTGGAGGGACACAGGAGACACTACAGGGTAAGGACAGGGACATAAATTCTAAAAAAAATTTTTGAAGACATCAAATACCAACATGTACACAGTCTAATATTTTGCTTTAAATTAGAATATCTGATTTTTAAAAAGCTATTGTACATTTTATTGAAAACCAAAACTGAAGCATAAATGCAGCTGAGATTTAAGTAATCTAGTTAACAGTTTATATAGTGTTTCAAAGATTGAAAGACTGTTCTTAATCCAGGTAGACTAAAGACCTAGAAGACTAAAGAGACAAAATAAAACAAAATTGTACCAACTTTAAAATTAAAAAGCAAACAAAAGAAAACTAACCAACACATATTGGATAAATTAATCAAAAGGAAAAACAATGCCTAAACTGCACTAATCATAAAAAAAAAGAAGTATGTAAGGAATACTACTGATAAGTTTCCTATCTATTATGTATTCCATACAGTCAAGAGAACATACCAAATTCCTCACCTTTAATTACTTTTCCCTTTTGTTTCGATGGCGTTCAACACCAGAAGCACTTACTACAGTCATTCACACTTTTTAGTAAATGCACCAAGTTACTAATGAGAATTACCTAAATATCAAATGCTAAGTAGACCTTAAAAGATGTGCTAAATATCCAGACGTTGAAGACGTATGTATAAGATAATAACCCTGAAAACACAAACGAGCAATTCTCAAAATCAATCCAAGACTGTCAGATGTCCTAGGTACCCTAGAAGGTAAGGCTGAAGCGGTCAGTTGACTTTTTTCCATTTTCTGAGTGCACAGTGGACCTTGTAGAATTTACATAATATGCAATTACGTCACTGCTGCTCACCTGTACTAAAGCCTGAACAGCATGAACTTGTCCAGCTAGCCTTAAACTATGATCTCCTTCTCCAACAGAGAAGGAGGAATCAAAGGAACAGGATGTTTCCATGTTGACAAGGCAGTGTCGATTCCGGGCACTATACTCCACCAGATTTATCAGTAGACCCAATCCCTACAAAACATTTAAAAATATAATTATCACAAAGAAGAACTTAATGAATGTAATATATGTAACTTTATTAAATAAAATGTTAAGCAAATAAAATGTTAATTTTTCCATCTGCAACACTGTTAAAGACCACTATGTAAGTTAGTGCTCTTTCTTTTAAGTGGCTTGAGTGGGCAGCAGAGGAACTATTTTGTTGCTTTCTGGAGTCTAGCCTGGCCTTCACTAATGGCCATCCTCTTACTCCATCCTCCAAAGTGCTAGGGTTACAGCCATACTTAGCTCTTTCCGTTATTATCCACCACCATTTCAGACTTTTTATGAAGGATGTTTTATAAGTACAGGAAAATGAGGATGTTTGTAAGGATTCATCAAAACCATAGAGTATATTAAACAACTGATTCTTAAATCCAAGCTAAAACAAAGTTTAATCATTTAAAGATAAGATAAAATACAATTACAAAGTGACCACTTCACTCACCAGCACTCGAATATCAAATCTCTGCTCCTGAGGTAGGTACTTTGGAACCTGAAGGACACAGTTCATTGCTGTGCCTATGAGTCCATCTTGTTCTCCTGTCTTTGTGCTGCCCCACTCTGAAGTAAGAATGGAAACAAAAATCTTCCTGATGACACTAATAACCATATTTAAAATTATTTTTTTGTTGCTGGGTTTTGTTTCCCTTTTTTCGTTCTTTTTTCTTTTTTCTTTTCCCCTAGCCCTGGTTTCACACTGTAATCTTGCCATGTACCTAAACTGGCTTCGACCTCATGGCACTCCTCTTGCCTTAGCCTCCCCACGTGCTGGGATTATATGTATGTCCACCATAACCAGCTACTGAAATCAGCATTAATTTAAACCACCTAACTTCCTGTACTGAAATATGTGCTTTTGCTATTTCAAGGCTAATCTACTAGGCAATTCTAAAAGTAGTTTATGACTACAGAGTAAGTCAATTATATTATTACTATATAAATTACTATAAATTACTATAAATTTACTATAGTAAACTTACTATAGTAACTTACTATATCAAAAACAGAATAGCTTATTTCCACGTGTAACATATAATTATATTATAAACATTAATTTTTCAATTAGAAAACATTACTTACCATTATCATTAGTTAAATTGAGCAATACCCCAATGATAGCCCTCATGCAGTCCTCCACTGCTTTGCCCACATGGTTAGTTACATTCTGGTAAGGCAGAGGTTTACTGTCTGCTATGCATATGCTGTTCTCAGCACGGTTATACTGCTGAATCAGTTCTTCACAATGCTGTAATGCTCTTAAGAGAAAATAAAATGTATACTATTATGGTATAATAAAAGTTATACAAAATTTCTATTTACTGGGGCCTGAAAAAGAAAAATCAGGTTTTGTTTCCCTATTTGAAGGTTATAATGTTTAATGTCTAATAATGTACTGTGTGTGTCCGATAATCTCACTAACTATTAAATTTTGATAAACTTCATCATTTAGTTTTCTCTCTAAAGAAAGTTAAAAGTTCATTCTATGTTGAGCATGGTGGTTCACATCTATAGTCCCCACTACAGAGGAGGCTGAGGCAAAAGGATTGCTTTAGCCCAGGAGTTTACTAGCTGGGACAAGAGTGAGATCCTGTCTCAAACCAAACAACTACCATCCCAACAACCACAAAAACAAAACCAAAAAACCTCCACGAAACAAACTTCCGTTACTTGTGGGAGTTGTCACATTTTACAGATACTTCAAACACAAAATATGTCACCACCATGCACCGCCCCTAAGCCTTTAAGATACAATGACCCCTTCTCAGTTTCATTTAGTTGTTTTTCGCTTAGCAAATAAGAAGATGTCTTCTTAGCAGGTAAAGTAGCACATACAAAAGAAATCACTCAATAAAGAGTATTAAATGCCTGACATATATTAAGGCAAATCATTATTTTTAATTGTGAATCATTCAAATTAACAAGTCTTCTGGCAGCTATACCCAAGGGTTCCCAAGATCTGACACATACTAACAAGGACACAGGATATGTACAGGTCCGCTTCCGAAGACTATCTAACTTTTGCTTATTATTAATATGTGAGTATGACGTGTGTGTGGATGAAGGTACCCCATCACCCATGTGGGGTGAGATCTTTGTGGAGCTGATTCACTCCTTCCATCTTTGCATGGGTTCTGGGCTTAAGGAAAGCTCAAGTCTACACTCCAAATGTCTTTACTGCTCAGTCATATCTCCAGTCCCCAAAGGCAACTTTACACCATTAAATTCATTATATATTTTTTCAAGTCTGACAAAGACAAGCTGACACAGTAAGCTGACTTTGTCAGAATACCATACAAACCCTTTTAAAAATCTAGCATATTTAATCTATTACTAGCTTATTTTCAATACATAATGAGGAAATTCTGTAAGGTTCCTAATCTTTTACAATTCTTTGATTAGGAAGATGTTCTTGTAAGATCAAACCCAAATAACTTGATCATTTGATGTTTGAGGATATTGACAGAATTCCCCTTCTGTTATTAGTAACTGAACTATCTGTCCTAAGTATTACTGATATATGACGGTTTTCTTGAAAAATCCCAGGTGAGTGCTATTTCTCAACCATCCAACGCTAACTTTTATCAACACTTTTAAAAACATTTCACCAGAAAACACTATGCAAGAGACAAAATCTATCACACTAAACACTTCCTTACTAAGGTAATTCTCAGGGATTAAAAAGTATAGGAAAATAACTTTTAAAATCAGAAATAACATACTCTTTAAAATTTTTTAAATATGTACTAGGACTGAATGATAGAGCACTTGCCTGGTACATTTTGCTGCTATAAACAACAAAATAACAATCCAACCAACCAACCATAACCACCACTCGTCAAATAAAAAGAAATCAGAAACATTTAATCTTCAAGAAAAATTCCTTGGTAAAGAAGAATTGCATGCGTTATGGAAATAATGTCCTATAACATTTACAAAAGCAACATAAAACAGGAAATAAGAGATGATATAGCATTTAGATTTTCTTCAAAATAACACACAAAAAAGAATGGGGTTACAGACAGAAACAGGGCTCACCCAGATATTATTCAAGCTGAGTATTAAGAGTTTATCATACTATTCTACCTACAGTTCTCTAAGTTTGAAATTCTCCAGCTAGAGGTTAAAACACAGATAAGCTAGACCATTCACACTACAATAGTTGTTCATTTCATAAGGAAATTTACAAAGACAATAAAGGGTCATATAGAATTGCAATTTAAGATGAGTTTTTCAAAGCAGAGACCCAGAGAAAGTTAAATCCCTGTGGCATAATGCTACCTAAGATAAAGGCCAGAGAACTAGGGCAGAGATAGCAAAAACTAGGACAGCAATACCAAGAAGCCGCCGTTGTGATAAGACAGAACCAGGACTGAAGACACAGAACACTGAAGTGACAGCATTAACCTAATTGTGATAAAGGCTAGACAGCAAGATACACAAAAATTAGAAAAATGAGATATAAACAAAAGGACGAAAATTCACTGTATACCAAGCAATGTTCTACTAGGGTTTACATGTAAAGAATTTGACTTATTCATATATATTGTACTTAAACCTTAAAACCACTTAAAATGTCTTAACACATTACCTACCTACCTACTTAATCTAGCTATACATTGTAAAAAAAAAAATGTATCTATGATATATGTTAAGATATACCTACTTGTTTGGCTGCCCCGCCCCCCCCCCCCCTAAAGAACTTGCAACAATGAAGTGACTTGTCCAGGGTTACAGCTAACAAAAAGGAGCTGCAGTTCTTAAAGCATTTTAGCTCAAGAATCTGAACTTTTGCTCTACAGTGTACTTATTCACGAACAAAACAGACTACACATTTTAAGAAGAAACAGAATAAAACTTTATTTCCTGAGTTTTAAATAAGTAATGAGTTGATAAAACTTACTTAGCAGATGAAATAATGAGTTGTGAATCTTTATAGGCTATCAAGTAGCTTTGATTCTCTGGATTATGCACTGTTACCTAAAAGGAATGGATATAAAATAACTTTGACAATCCATAATTTTCTTTAATATAAATAATACCACATTTTACCTTAAAATATAAAAGATGGAACAGATCTTGGCATCTAAGAACACAACTTCTTAAACTCTCTAGTTGTGATGCACAGAATTCTAATTTAATGGTGGGGGCTGCAAAAACTAGCAACATAGAAAATTTCTCAATGATCAAAAATTTATTAAAAATAAAATGCATAATGAATCCAAAGTCTTTTTAGAAATGCTTACCGGTGGCTCATTTCATGTATTCACTTGGTTCTGCCACACAACATGAGCATTTTGCATCATGCCTGTTGTCATGCCACACACCAAAAAAAATGTCTCAAACAGCTAAGAAACAAGTCTGTTACATGCTATATATTATAATATACATAAAGTTTTCTTGTCTTATAGAGTCATTTGACTAAATATGACACAGACTTTTTAGTTTCCTCAGTGTGTATCAAACTAGTATACTCTTTGATTATACACTGTGTTAGAATGACTGACACTGTTGCTTAAGGGGGGCAGTGGTGGTGCTCAGGAGGCAGAGGAAGGCAGAGCTCTGTGAGTTCAAGGACAGCCTGGTCTACAGAGTAATTTTCCAAGACGGTCAGGGCGACACAGGGAAACCCTGCCTTGAAAAACAAACAAATAATAAAAAATAAATTTTTAATTGCTGTTTAATAGCTGGGTATGGTGGTACGTGCCTTTAATCCTAGCACTTAGGAGGCAGAGACAGGTGGATCTCTGTAAGTCTGAAGCCAGGCTATCCTGGTTTTCATAGTCAGCTCCAGATCAAATAAAGTTACACAGTGAGATCCCAACTAAAAACTATCGATTTACATAAAATTAAGATATGACTCTACTTATTCACTCATAACTTAGTCATCAGATTTGCTATAATTGACAAGTACTTTGAAACAGACAGAAAAATATCCAACTTACAAACTTGGTACTTTAAAACTCATAAATATAAAATATTTTACTTTTAAATTTTAATATTTATTAAAGTAAAATATTTTACTTTTAAATTTAATGTCTATTTATTTGTTTGTTTGTTTTGAGATAGGGCCTCTCTATATAGCCCTAGCTGTCCTGGATCTCGCTATGTAGCTCTGGTTGGTCTTGAACTCACAGCAATCTGCCTGCCTCTGCTTCTTGAGCATTGGGATTAAAGGTATATGCTATCACACACAGCCATTTAAAATATTTTTTTAAAAAATAATGTGTTACCCAGTAAACAACACTGTAGAAGAAAGAAGGAACAATTTTCATTTATGTATTTTATGTTTTAAAAGTACCTAACCAATCCACTTAATCAGCAATTATACATTCTAAAATTGACTGGCAGTAAAAAGTAAAACTGCAGCCTACACTAAACTAGGTTAAGTCATACATAACCACCAAGGAACAGAATATACTCACTGTCACTCAACAGTTTATTTTCCAAAGTCAAATATTTTCACTACTGCTTACAATCTGACTCAAAAGCTAAATAAACAAAAGCATACTAACTAGGGGGCTGGAGAGATGTCTCAGAGGTTAAGAGCACTGGCTGCTCTTTCATTTACTGCATACATAAATAAAATTGTTCCTTCTTTCTTCTACGGTGTTGTCTACTAGGTAACACATTATTTCTTTTTTAAAAAATATTTTAAATGGCTGGAGTTCAATTCCCAAGAACCACATGGTGGCTCACAACCACCTATAATGAAATCTAGCGCGCTCTTATGGTGTGCAGGTATACATGCAAACAGAACACTGTATACATAATAAATAAATTTTAAATTTTAAAAAGAAAAGCATACTAAAACAAAAACCAGTAACAGAATTCTGCAGAAAACTATATTAACTTAATTCTGCAGAAAACTTAAAACTTAACTGCTGATTTAAGAAAACTATAAAGTCAGGTACATATGAGCAAACCTGTATCTACCTTTCATTTGAAGCAATAATACACGAATAGAAGCTTTTTATTTTGAGACAGGGTCTTATTTATGTAGCCCACGCTGGCCTTGAATTCACAATCTTCCCTCCCAATTTTAGGATCGCAAGCATGTCCAGCAAAACAATACATTCTTAAAATGATAAAATGCTCATTTAGTGACGGTTCTGAAAAGAATCCTTTTTAATTTAGATCAACAAAGGTAAAACTCCAGGGTATATAAAACATCAGGTGATTATAAGCATATGCAATCACAATTAGAAATAAGTCCCCATGCAGTTGCTCATACTTACACTCTCTAAAACTCGTAAACATCTCTCTGCTCCCCATAATGAGGCTACTAGTTTCTCTTCATCCTCATCTCTACTTAAATGATCCACACACTCTTTTACTAGGCAAAAAGAAATGGACAAAAGTTAGTATATAAAACTTCAATAATTATTCCTTAGCCAACATCAAGATACCCACATACATGAATATGCTGAAATGTGAACATTATTTTATGCCTGATACTAAGGACAATGGTTTGAATGAAAATGGCCCTCATACAATCATGTACCTGGATGCTTGGTCAAGTGTTGTGTGACTGTTTAGGAAGCATTAGGAGGTACGGGCTTGTCACAGGAGGTCTGTACTGTAGATGGGCTTTGAGGTTTCAAAAAACAGGACATTCCCACTTATCTCCTCTCTTCCTCTCCCCTTCTCTACTTAGTGTTCATACCAAGATGTGAACTCTTAGCTGCTGCTCCAGCACCATGCCTGCCTGCTGTCACGTGCCCTACCATACATAATAGTAACAGACTCACCCTCTCAAACTGTAAGCCCTCAATAAACTTTTTCTATAAATGGCCTTGGTCACAATGTCCTCTTTTTATTGTTGTTTTTACAAGACAGGATTTCTCCTCTGTGTAGTCCTGGCTGTCCTAGACCAGGCTTTGTAGATCAGGCTGGCCTTGAACTCAAGAGATCCACCTACCCCTGACCCTGGAGTGCTAGGACTAAAGTTATCTACCACCATGTGTGAGTGTGTGTGTATGTATACAATCTTTTATCTACAATATGACCTTGTGTGTATGTTTCTATGTGTGTATACAGACCTTTATCTACAATATGATCAAGACCACCCAGAAGCCGAAGCTCTTCTTTAAACCAGTCTCCCGCTCGTTTGGAAGTGAGGGACAGCAATGTCTCCATAGCTAAATGACCAGTCTAAAAATCAGAAATAACATTAATGAATACTGAGGTGTAGAATAATTTTTTTTCCTGGTTTTTAAACAGGATTTCTCTGCAAAGCCCTGGCTGTCCTGGAACTTGCTCTGTGGACCAGATGGCCTCGAACTCAGAGCTCCAGCCACCTCTGCTTCCACAATACTTAGATTAAAGGCAAGTGCCACCACCACCCAGCTATAGTAATTCTGAAGCATTAATTTAAGGAATTTTTTTTCTTTACTAAGATGTAGTCAATAGAACAGTAAATGCTTTTATAGGTGAATTAACTTATAATTTTATCAGAGTAGTCTATACTAAAGAAACTGTGGTTTACGTATATAAGACCTGTTTTTATGAAAAAAGTTAAAAGTAATCTGTTAGTTTAATATAATACATAATGGCAGTATAGAGGCTCAGATGGCATTATGGAATCAAATGATGTATTATTTTACTATAAACCAATATACTGGATTAATATACCAAAAGGAATGTAATTAGATAAATTTCAAGGAAGAAAGTGTAAGAATGTCAGTGGCCCTAAATGTTCACATTCAATGGTCATTATTTTAAACAGACTGAAGGTACGAAGTAGTAACAATGGCTTGGGCGTGTTTTTTTTGTTTTGTTTTTTTTTTTTCCCCCGGAAACAGTAAACATGAACATTTTTCCAAATATTTACCAGTGAGCCACATTTTTTGATCTAGTTATCTAGTTTGCCTGCTAACCCCTTGCAAGGTACCAATAAACTAGTCATTTAAAAACAGGAATGGAGGGAATAATTAGCAAAACCTGAAAAGAAGTTTTGTCTATCCTCCTGACCCTGACCCTAAACCCAAACTTAACACTTCAAAGGGAAAACTTTTCACCTTGGCATGTATTACATTTGAAACTGAATATATATTATTTATAAATTAAATTAGGTTAACCAATAAAAATCTTATTTTATAAGAACCTAAATATTTTAGTAAGTCCTTCGAAACCAAAAAAAATTTTTGTTACGACAAATACAAATCAGTATGCAATACAACAAAATCATTCAACTGGGTTCATTTCTCATTCTAGGTCCTGAGAAGGGTAGTTTAATGACCAAATTTATCAACTCATGAGTCTTTACAGTGAGGCTGAGGCCTAATGCTACAATCTTTAAGAAGGGTATAAAAATTTTTATTAGTAAAAACTTGTCTTTTATATTTTAAGCTATATTCAGCATAGCATAAGCTACTATACAAAAATAGCCTATTATTTTAAGCATTTTTTTTTTTACTTGAAAACTAAAACAATCATCTAGAGCAAAATCACTAATAAGACTATTGTTAACAGTTGGCATACAGTTATCCATTGCTTAAAACTCTATTACTGTTATTTCTTCATGTGTTATCAACAGCACAAATATATTAAAAGAAGTTAATTTTTAATTTCATAAACTTTTTCTTTTGAGATAGGGTTTCTCTGTGTAACCCTGCTGCCCTAGAACTCACTTTACAGACCAGAGTGGCTTCGAACTCCCAAGTGCTGTGGTTAAAAGAATGCATGACCACACCTGGCTATATACTTTATTAAAAACAAAACAAAACAAACAAAAAAGCCCTTTAAAATATTAAAACACACAACAAAATTAACCAGACCCAAGCAATATAAAAACAAAACAAAACAAAACAAAACAAAACAAAAAACCCCAAAAAACTGTGTGCAGCTATTCTTTAAACAAGGCAACTTAGTAAGCTTACTACTATACAATTTAAAAATCATATTTAAGAACAGCTGACATTGAGTTGAAGGAAAAAAAGTCACCCTAAAATAGTCCAGTGCTCTGGTTTCAATCAAGTCAATTATTTACCATACTATCATAAATTTTCATGCTGATATTTACTTACCCTAACAAATTCAACATAAGTCAAACTCATTTTTTAAAATGTTATCATTCAACAGCAAACATTTGAAATCAATATGCAAATGAGTAAAAAATTTAAGTTCAAATTAATTCTTTTATAGCATTAAAACTAATTTTTCCTTATGGCCAAATAAAATACATATAGATGGCATTTTAGCTATTCAACTGTTGGAGATCTAGGCTAGGTCTACTTCTTAGCTATCATCAACAGTGCAGCAATAAACACAGACATTCAAGTATCTCTGTGGTGGGCTGACAGTGGTTAACTGAGGTACTGGACAGGGGAAGAGTAATGGGACAGATAAGTCAATAAAAACAAAGAATGGAAGAAAATGCCATAATGAAACCTACACTTTGTAAATTTAACAATTACTTTTTGAATTAGATATAAAAATGCTGACTGAATGAAAATGACAGGTTTTAATAGTAGTATTAGCACTGTCCCACTCCCAAGTCAACCTAAAGGTAATATACAGACCGTGGTGACATGGAGGATAATCCTGTGTTTTAAAGGTAGCTGGCTTTACTCCCACATGTTATCTTTTTTCACAATCCATGAATCCCTTAGTAAGTCTAGTAATTAAACAGGATGAGAGGCCCCAGTCACTGTGACTATCAACAGTCTGTAAATTTTTGGGGCAAATGTTAAGAGTCCTCTCAGTTAAGCAGGCAACAGGAAAAAAAAAAGTTTTATCTTAGAAAAATCAAGTTATACAACAATCATCTTTTTTCTTCTCCTCAAAAACCACAGATCAATAATCTTACTGACCTCATAAGAGGCCATTTGGATTACTATCATTCACAGGGAAATTGTGCTCAGAATAAAGGCCATAATCCTACATTGCTCCAAAATGACAAGTGACTAAGGATTTCCCTTTTCAGTCTCCAGATACCCTGAGATAGTTTAGAATAAAAAAATACTGTTCACAAATCCTTTAAAACTTCTGATTTTGAAAATTGAGAGAATAAAAATTCCAGTTGCTAAGAGCTGAAACGTAGAGGGAAGACAAGACAAAGAAAAACAATAAGCAAAATTTAACAAGAAAAGCAGCTCACTAGCAAAACCAAAACAAAGAAAGACTCAAATAAAGATCATCAAATTTAATGGTTTCAGGAGTATGTTGGCAAATGTTATGTAAACGCGACACAAGCTAGAGTTATCTGAAAGGAGGGACCGTGGCTGTAGGGTATTTTCCTAATTAAGGACTAATAGGAGAGGGCACAGTCCATTGTGGTGGTCCTGGGTTCTATAAGAGAGCAAACTGAGTAAGCCATAAGGAACAAAGCAGTAAGCACTCTTCTATGGCCTCTGCAGCAGCTCCTGCCTCTAGGTTCTTACCCTGATTTCCCTTAGCAATGGACTGTTACCTGGAAGTGTAAGCTGAAATAAATCCTTTCCTCCCCAAGTTGCTTTGGTCATGTTGGTTCATCACAAAAACAGTAGCCCTAACTAGAACAGAAAATGGCGTTCAGAGCTAAACGTTAATAGAATACTTTGTCAATAAAAACTATAAACAAGACTATTAAAGGTTAAATGGTTTGCCAAAAGCCACACAGCCACTGTGACTAATCAGGCTTTCTGAATATAATCTTCATTTATTATAGAAGCAAACAACTCACCGTTATATTTTCTAGATCAAGATGCTTATTGTGCACAGTTTCACACAGTCTTCGGATTTTTTCTTTGATTTTGTTCATGTCTTTTTCATTCAGTAGCTTAGCTGAAGAAGCATCTTGTTCCAGTTCCAAAAGTCGAATCATGAGATCTAGGCTGGCCCTATCAAGATCCATGTTCAAACGATCTCTACTCAATATGTACATGAGAGCAGCTGTACAGAGGGACAGATTCTTCAACAGATCCCAAAAGAGAAATATTCATGAAAGCAATTACTAACAACTTCAAAAAACAAGGACATTACTGACATTTATAAGCTAAAACGTCTAAAATTCCTATTGCCAGTTTTTATGGAGACCATAAAAATGCTTGACTCACTGTTCTTCCAAAATATCCTGTTTGATAAATAAAACCCTGATTGAAAATTGTTTTCTCGGGGGTTGGAGAGATGGCTCAGTGGTTAAGAGCACTGCCTGCTCTTCCAAAGCACCTGGGTTCAATTCCCAGCACCCACATGGCAGCTCACAACTGTCTATAATGTCAATTCCAATGGATTTGACACCTTCACATTAATGTACATAAAAATAAAAAAATTAAACAAACAAACAAAAAAAAGAAAATTGTTTTTTCCTCTAATGAATGTTCAACTAGAATATAAATTTAACTACTCGTTTCTTTGGAAACTTTTCCTAAATTAGGTGTTTCTAGAAAATTTTGTATGTATAATATATATTATATATTATTAATATATAATTATATATAACTATATAATATTATATATAGCATGTAACTATCTCCTTCTACAATATACCCTTTAATGTTCATGATAACAAAGATAAGTCAATTTTTTGGTTCAAAATGGTTTATTATTTGTATCAAAACACATTTTTTCCTCTGTAAAATATAGACAACTGAGCATGCACCAGTATACAGGGGACTGAAATAAAGTTAACTAGGGGCTAACAAGATGACTCAGTAGTTAATAGTGGAAATGAGTTGCTCTTCCAGGGGACTCTGGTTCTAGTCCCAGCACCTACAAGATACTCGTTCAAAACTGTCTATAACTAGTTCCAGGGGATCCAATGCCATCTTCTGGCTTTTATAAGCACCTAGTGTACAGACATACAAACAAGCAAAGCACTCATAAACTAATAAAATATTTAAAAGGAAAGAAACATAACTAGCTTGAATTCTTTTGTTTTTTTGAGACAGGCTCTCACTATATAGCTCTGGCTGTCCTAGAACTCACTATGTAGACCAGGCTGGCCTCAAACTCACAGATTCACCTGCCCCTGCCTCACAAATGCTGGGATTAAAGGCAATGCACCACTACCTCCAGCTGGATTTTCTTCTTAATGTTTTAAGCCAGCAATTACTATTATTTTGAGACAGGGTCTTACTATGTAAGTCCTGGTTGGCCTGGAACTTACTATGGAGACCAAATTAGCCTAGAGATCTACTTGCTTTTGCCTCCTGAGTCCTGGAGCCAAAGGAAAGCACCACAAGGCCTGACACTTCTTTGTTGGGTTTTTGAGACACCTACTCACTATGCAGCACTGGAACTCACTATGTAGACCAGGTAAGATCGGGGTACTGCTTCTGCCTCCCAAGTGCTGTGATTAGAAGTGTGCAACAGGCTTTTATTTTTTGACAGGGCATCATATAACCCAGCTGAAGGCTGGCCTTCAACTTCTGTAGCTCCTGTCTCTCCTTCCATAAACACTAGGATTACAGGCCTGCATAAGAGCTGGTATATGCCATGCGAGCGAACAGACTCAGGGCTTCATGCTTCCTAGTCAAGCACATTAGCAGCTGAGCTACATTTGTAGCCCCTAGTAACTGCTTTTTTAATAAAATATTAACAAAATGTGCTTAAAATACCTTTCTAGGTGGCATGTTTTAATATTTAAACAGTTAGCCTTTTGGTAGCCTATGAATGCATTCTATATTCAAAAATATAAGAATTACAAATATGTATAAACTTTTCCCTCATTAACATAACCTAAATAATACAGTAAGAACTACTTATATAACATTTAAATTTTATTAGGTACTCTGTAATCCAGAAATGATAGTGTAAGGGAGAATATATGTATCAATATATAAATATTCAGCCTTATTGTCCTAGAATCAGTCTCCCACAGATACCAAGGGAGAGCTGTGTAATTCGGTGCATTTGGGATATGTCAACATTTGAGATGAGTTTATATTTATTATGTTCAGCAACACAATATGTAATTAACTACTTAAAAGAATATAACTTTGAAATGCCCCAAGTACAGACTCTCTAGATACTTGAGCAGGCAATAGATGTGTGTATGTGGCTGTGAGTGCATGTGTGGGCACGGGCACGTGAGTACGCACACAAGCATGCATGCCTGTGCATGTGAGTGTACTTGCTCAACATTACAGCTAGAGTTACAGGTGGTTGTGAGCCCCTCACATGGGTGAAAACTAAACTCAGGTCTTTTACTACTAAATCATCTCTTCATCTACATTTAATCTCCTTAATTAAATGTTTATGAACCATCTTTTCTTTTTTATTTTTTTTAAATTAGGATGCCACAGTAAAGACCTAAGGGACAAACTAACTACGCAAAAAATAAGTCAAGACTATGGCTAACTGGTCAATGAAACAAAGTAAGCATTTCTTGTCTTTCTGTCCTCATTATTCTGTGTCTAGCACAACTTGAGTACAGAGGAATGCTCAGTCACTTTAATTCCATTACTTTTAGTTTTAGAAAAATTGCTATTAGATTAATTCTGTGCGACTCAATTTGAATTTAGAATGTAATTTTCTTTACTACAAGGCCACCTCAACCTATCACTGGTAGGTTAGGTATTGACTATTTTTGTCCTAACTTTTAATGACATTAATATTAACTTTGGTTAGGTAACCTTTACTGTTTATTATTTTTCCTTTTCATAATTCAGCTATCTTCCAGATCCAGTAATAAAACAATTATTTTAAAATCCTGGCTGTATTTCAAAATGCTTTTCTATGCCATTAACATCAAACAATACCAAAAGATGCTTCTGAATAGAGAAAATAATTTTATAGTATAAAATATTCAGTATAGTATGTTAACTGACAAATGAATTAGTATTTTAATAATATAAACTATTCTTAAGAAAAATGTCTTAAGGTAATGCTATTTATAAAGCAAAAATATATGGCTATTATTTCTTATCAAGCACATAAACTCAGCTTTTAATGCACTTATATGAATAGCCAATGAAGGTATTTTCTGATATAGTCAAACATTGTAATTTTTCGATAATAACCCTCAACCTCAGAAACTTAAAAATACCTGATGGTGCTGGGAATCATCCAAGGTTTTAAAGACCATTGCAACCATTCCATGTGCTCTCAGGTGCATTCGAAAACTGGGCATGGCACATTTAGTAGCCAAGCTGATTACACTAGAAGGAAACAGACTATGTTAGGACAGCTAAATATTGCTAGGATATGAGCTGTAGTTTGCATAATTCTAAAGAAGCAACTAAGAAGAAAATAGAAGGCTTCAAGTACTGCCAACACAAAAACACAAAAACCATGGGCAAATCAAAATTTTAAAACATGTACCAAGGCTTCAGAGTGTGATTGGGCACACTACATTTATAAAAATGAATAGCATGTCTGTAGTGTATTCCTCAAATCATCACTGCCACTAAAATTATAAAATTCTACTTATCTTTTATAATGCTGCTATTATATAAAAACTGGAAGTAGTTATATTTGATTGGATATATTCCAACTAACAATAAATAATACAACCAAGTCAAGGTATTCAATTACCATATGTAAAAGATGACCAATGTCACTCAATCATTCTGTCACTTGGTGTCAGAAATTCCGAGATTAAAAGCAAAACAAAAAACCTCAACTCAGATTCTTTAGTATACTACTTATTCTTTTAGCATTTGGAAACTGAAGACTACACTATACCAAAAAGAAAACATTTTAACTTATCACTGATTATCAACAACAAAATTTTTAAATGTCTGACTTTATTAACAAATATAAACCCATCTAATTAAAAAAAATTAAATGATATAGTGTACACAACGTTATAAAATGTAAACTTAAGATCTTACCTAAGGCAACGTGTGTTTAGAGGCTGAGTACTCTTTAAGCCACTTAACAAGTATTCAATGTCATCAGTGAACTCCTGATTTTCACCAAATTCCACCACATCATTGAAGTGCTTCACATGCTGAACAACAGTATATAACTGCCAAGAAAAAAAATAAGCCCACCTCTTTTGTTAACTATGAACTAGAATATTTATAGGCTCACTGTACTTAATAAAAAGCCTATACAATCATTCATTAGATGGCAAGAAAAATGTTTTTAAATCACTAGTACTGCTAGGACAAGGTACGTTTGTGGTTCAAAACTGTGGCTATCAATGTAGTGATACTTGTTTAAGACAAAAGGCTAAATGTTACACATAGAAATCTATCCACGTGCAGTAAAACTATATATGGCTGCTTACTTCTTTGTCTTCTTTTCTGCATTTCAGTGCAGTAACTATATCTTGGTAGGGCTGAGTAGGTATTGTCACAGTTTTTATCACTTTGAGTGGTGGTGCAGGAGCCTTAAAAACTCCATCATCTTTTTGATTTGGTTCCTTTGAAGACAGCCTCACCTATTAATAAAGGTATTAAATTAGTTGTTCTAAGCAAATATATTTTAAAAGGTAACATCTTGTCTATGTGACAAATTTAGCTTTTAAAGAGTAAATAAAAAAAAAATTTTAAGGGGAAGAGGGAGGCTGCTGAAAGGTCCTAAGAGATAATTTAAATTCCATGCACTACTAAGACTTAAATGTTTTACACACAAAAGAACCACTTGAGAAATACTTCTAGCTTATTTAAACTTCGCATTTCATATCATTTCTTTGCTTCCAGGACTGTTAACATAATAAAAAAAAATCCACAATTGCATGCATTAAGTAGCAATGATAAGCAACGTAGACAGGGCTTCAGAAAAACTGCAGCAAAGAAATCACAAAAGTATAGGAAACTAAAGCAATATAGAACACAAAATATTAAGTTGTAATAAGAACAAGGCATGTTTCAGCATCACAATTATTAGTATATATAATGGCGACTTCGTAATCAATTTAAGAAAAACACTATACTGTGTTTAGAAAGAATTCTACTCTTGGAGCTGAGGATGAGCTTTTGCCAACATACAAGGCCCTGAATTCAATCTCTGGCAACACAAATACATCCTCCTCAATCCTCAAATTTTTGTTAATGTTCTCTAAGAACCCATTCCTTTGGTAGCTGCAATGACCGAAGCATTGCTTTTAAGCTAAGAGTTTTAACCTATGATACTACTAATACTTCTGTAGAAAATACACTTTCATAGGGGCAAAGAGGACCTCACTATGTAGCATGCAGCCCTTCAATTTAAGATCTGAGCCTCCTGGTTGCCTGGATTGTGGGCACCATACCTAGCAAGAATATTGTATGGAAGTTTTGTTTGGAAAGTATTAATGGAATGTAATTTCAGCTCTATGTAAACCAAATTAAGAAATGAAAGTCATTTTAAGATATACAAAGATAAATATTCAGGCAAAATGCTCTTACACATAAAGTAAAAATTTTAAAAAAATTCTTAAAAAGGCAGAGGGCCCAACCTTAAAAAAAAAAAAAAAAATTCCATATTGTAAAATGTACGTCTACAATATAGCTTTGGAGCAGGAGACTGGGTCTTGCTACACAGCTCTCATTAACAATGAACTGGTAGCGATTCTTCTATCCCAGTACTTACTGGGATTACAGATATGAGGCACCATGCCTAGCTTTATTTTAAGTTCTTAGGATCAATAGGCTAGGGAGAATGTTCAGTTGGTGAAGTGTCTGTCCTGTAAGCATGAGGACCTGAGTTTGGATATCTATACTTAAAAAAAAGGTGTGGGCAAAATAAAATCAGTACCCCAGCAGTTTGGACTGAAGAATGATGGATCCTTGGAGCTCATTAGTCTAGCTGAATTAGCCAAATTTCATGAAACCCTTTCTCAAAAAATTAGGCAGAGGTGAGATTGTTTAGCAGGAAGGGATGCTTGCCACACAAGCCTGACACCCTGAGTTTGATTTCCAGAACCCATATGATGTAAGAAATCACTCTTAAAAGTTGTCCTTTATTGGGTGCATACACACCTATCCGCACTAGCACAAACACACACACACACACACACACACACACACACACACACACATACTACCACACACAAAGAATCAATACTAACACTTCATATGAGGAATACATTTTCTTAAACCCTAAATACTATAAATTCTATGAAAAGTGAATTTGAATCATGATTAAAAGCTTTCTTTTATTTGTTGTTTTGTTCTGAGATAGGGTCTCAGTATGAAACCTAGGTTGGCCTTGAACTCCTAAAACATTTTAATTTGTAAAGCTTTCAATTATAACCTTGTAAGAATAAAAATTAAGATAGTAACTATCTAGATCAATTTATAACTTATTTTTAGAGAGAAGAGTAAAACTTTACTTACTGTGACACTCTGAGATTTTACTACTGGTGGTCCAGGAAGTTCTTCTGAGTCTGGATGGTTCCAATGCCTGGCATTATATACAGCTTTTGTAGGTGACTAGTGAAATGAGAAAAAGATCAACTACTTCCATCTCACTTTGTATCCCTTATAAAAAGGTCTCATTTATATAGAATAACTGAAATGTATAAACATACATCTTAGACCAAAATAGATGTTACTGCCATATCTAAATCACTTTGGTATTTATCACAGAATTGGCAACTACACTTCTGTGCAAACAAGCAACCAGAAGAAAGCACTTGAAATTGCTAATAAACACACACACACACACACACACACACACACACAGATTATATAGCAGTTGTCTAAGAGGAACATAAAAAACAGAGAGCTAATTTGTGTTCCACCTATTCTGTATACATGTTACCCAGAAAACCTAATATAGTCATTCCATGAGTTCATAAATTACTTAGATATAATAACAAGTAATCATTTAATGCAAATCTACTTCCTTAAAAGTAATAGAAACAGAAGATTTGGCATTATAAAATATTTGTTGTATAAAGTACTTTCTTGGAGATAAAGAAATGTCCTAATGAGTACACATTCTAGCAGTGCTAGCCTGATGACTGGCGTTAAGTTTCTGGAACCCACAGAAAACACTGCATGTGGCAAATATGTATCTGGAGTCCTAGCACTTCTACAATGAGACAGAAGAACTGGCCAGAGGCTTGGGGACCAGTTAGCCTAGAGTATGTGGCACAGTAGTAGCAGAAATAAGAAAGAGCCTGCCTCAACAATTTGAAAGTCAAGAGCCAACTCCTAAGAGTTGTCCCCTGACCTCCAAAACCTCCACATTCACACACATTCACATGCACAAAAGATAAATTTTTAATAAATGTCTTGAAAGTCTATTACATGCTGCGTGTGGTGGGGAGACATTTTTAATTCCAGCACTCAGCAGGTAGGAGCAGGTGGATCTCTGTGAGTTAGTTCGGGGCCAGCCTGGTCTACTAAGCAAATTCCAGATAGCCAGGGCTACACAGAGAAACCCTATCTAGAAAAAACAAATAATAATAATTAATAATAAGAAGAAGCAGAAGAAGAAAAGAATAAGGAAGTCTAGCATTTGATGTACTTGATTCAACATGCTCATTTGCAAAACTTTATTCCTCATACTAGTCATTTCTGCATCATAATTTTCTTTTGGTTTTTTTCAAGACAGAGTTTCTCTGTGTAGCCTTGGCTGTCCTGGAGTCACTTTGCAGACCAGGCTGGCCTCACCTGCCTCTGCCTCCCCAATGTATAAAAGATATAAAACTTTTATTTAAAAAGAATTTGTATAAAATCCTACTTCAAGAATGGCCAAATATTCCTGTTCCTATTACTCTTATAAACTAGATTTGCAGTAAGTAATGAGTCATTCTTAAATAATGTATGAACTCATGCAATAACTTGATCAGGTTTTCTGGGTCACATGTACACACAGTAGATTTCACATAAATTCTAAAAACTATCTCTGTTCACGGTCATCGTAGACAACCACTATACAAGCTGTATGTCTGTTAGTTACTAAATCCTTGATTTAAGCAACCTCTAGTACCTTAAGTACATTCCGCACCCAGGTTATGATTACACACTGTTAGTATAGACCTGTATCCTAGGTTGGAGGTGTGGCTCACAGTACACCTACCCAGCATGCACAAGGCCCCTGGTTCCACCCCCAGCATTGTAATAAAGTCAGAGACAGATGTGCTTCAAAGTGCAAATATTCTGCTGATTTTTTTATTTATTTATTAATTTTTAAAAAATGAGCATTGGTACTTTGCCTACTAAGAGATCTGTGTACCACATGTGTCAGTTACAGACAGTTGTGAGCTGCCATGTGGGTGCTGGGAATTGAACCCAGACCCTCTGAAGAGCACTCGGTGCTCTTAATCACTAAGCCGTATCTCCAGTCCCCCATTCTATTTCTTTTAAGAATGCACTGACTCTAGGTAATAATCTTTGGGTTAAGAAAAAGGCTAATTCTCCACAAAACAAAATAGCAGGACAATGCAAGGTTCTTAACTAAAACATTCTTAAGAGCAAGCAAAACACTAATTACTATTTTAAGTACTAAATACTACTAACAGCTATTTAATGCTGGGCCAGCACTTTCATTTAAAAAAAAAAAAAAAGGAATGTGTAGTTTATCCAACATACAGGGGCTCAGACCAACAAAAGGAAAGCTGGCATTGAAACATTCTATAATGAAGAGTTAAGGAAAAAAGGCAGATTGCACATCTCAAAATGGACTGAAGCATAATACACTAAGTAACTTATACTAACTAGGTCATACTAGATTTAGAATTTTTTTTTAGTTAGCATGGTATTGTATGCCTGTAATCTCAGCACCCAGGAGATACAGGATTAAGGAGTTCCAGGCCAGTCTTTCCTACATAGAGAGTTCAAGGCCAGTCTGAGCTACAAGAACTTTTCTCACATAAAAACAAAGCAAAAAATAAAGACAAAAAACAAAAAACAAAACAAAACAGGCACAGTAGCACATACGCCTGTAATCCCAGCACTCTGGGAGGCAGAGGCTGGCAGTTCTCTGTGAGTTCAATGGCAGCCTGGTCTGCAAAGCAAGTTCAAGATAGCCAAGGCTACACAGAGAAATCCCATCTCAAGAAGAAAACAAACCATTTCTTATTCTGTGTGTTGGCTGATACCATCAACTTGATGCGACCTAGAACCACCTAGGAAACAAGCCCCTGGGCACAACTGTGAAGACTTATCTGATTCAAGGTAAAAAGACCCACCTTGAAAATGAGGGGCACAATTCCAAGGGCTGGGCACTAGGACTGCACAAAAAAGGAGAAAGTGACCTGAGCACTAGCATCCATCTCTGCTTCTTGAATGGGAATGCAATGTGGCCATCTGCTTCAAAGTCCTGCTGCTAGAACTTCCCCACCATGACAAATTATACCTTCAAAATGAAAGCCGAAACCTTCCCTTCTTGTTGGGTATTATGTCAGAATAAGAAAAGTTAATATTATTCAGCATGTAATTCAATGAACCTGTAATTTGTAAAGTTTCTGATGCTTACCATTTTAATGCTAATGTAGAGCAGTGTAAAAAATAGATCTGACAGGAATTTTTCCTTGACTTTTATTTCCTTTTTCTTGTTGTTTGAGACAGGGTTTCTCTGTGTAGCCTCTCTGGACTAGCTTTGTCAATCAGGCTGGCCTTAAATGTCTCTCTGTCTCTAACTCTTTGAGTGCTGGGATTACAGGCATGTGCTACCATGCCTGTAAAAAAAAAAAAATTCCAAATTTTACATAGGACTTTAACATTTTTTAGAATTATGTTAATGTTTTGTCTACATGTATGTGTCTGTAGATGTACATGCCTAGTGCCCATAGAGGGCAGAATTGAGTATTAGATGCCCTGGAACTCGTGTTATGCATAGTTGTATGTCACCATGAAATCACTGAACCATCATCTCTCTGACCAGTTGCAGGGCTTATTATAGGGGAAGAGAACTACTAAAAGATATACCTAACTAAATAAATAACATATGAGTATTAAATAGGGAGGAAGAATGGGAAAGAACACCACACTGTCCTGAGCTCAAAGCAGCATTCTGTACAAGAATTCCACAGGCTCCAAATGTGAATTGTGTAAGTAAACACTACAACATCTGATATGTCATATTCTAATTTTACATAGTAAACGTGATTTTGTAAAGTAACAAAAAATGGGTTAAAGAAAGAGTAACTACAGAGCCACCAACTTTTCCTGAAAAAGAAAATTCATGAACACCATGAAGGAATCTGGCTAAGTCTTAACTAGGTCATTCATACTATACCACCAGGGTTATCTTAAAAAATTTTTTTTAACTTTAGAAGCAGATACATAGCACAGTAACCAAATTTCTCAACTTTACTCTGTTAGACAATTTATGCCTTCTGTTTGCTCTTCAATCTAAAAAGAATACTTAGAACAAATGGAAATGGTAGGGAGCTTTTATGAACATGCTAACATTCTAATGATTTAGAACCATGTAGGCATGTTTCAGAAGAGCCATCTTACAACATTCTTATGTTTGTTTTTATTTATTTCTCCAGGAATATAAATGACAAATAACAATTTTACATGCAGTAATTTACTACAGTTAAAGAAAAAAATAAACCAATGATCAACCGACAAGAGTGACTTATGCATGAGTGAAGTTTCAATGAAAATGTAAAAAAGTGTTTATTTATAAGGACAAAGTCAAGAGTGATTTAGCAGACTATTTCACTGAGTTACAATTATAAATGATAAGAAAGAGTTCTGGGGCTAGAGAGATAGCTCAGCAGTAGAGAGTATTGGCTGTTCTTCCAGAGGACCTGGGATCAATTCACAACACCCACATGGCAGCTCACAACTGTCTGTAATTCCAGTTCCAGTGGATCTAACATAGACATACATTCAGGCAAAACATCAATGCACAGAAAATAAAAATAATTTTTTTTTTTAAAGTAGAGTTCCTTCATGAAGAACAAAGAGTAAGGGCATTTTGCTATTTCTCCATTGAGTTGGCTTTTAAAAGCATGTGTGTTGAGGACAGGGAGAGTTGCACCATTTTTATATCACGATTTCTCTCTCTCTCTCTCTTTTTATTTTTTTTTAGCAAAATCAAATTCTTAAGTTTTAAGTAAGACTATAGTAAAGACAAAAACAGTAAGCTGGCTATATTTTGGCCAAGTTTTATCTACAAAAATTTCATAAACAGAGCAAATAATTCTATCAGCATACGTACATCTAGATGAACATTCAAAGTACTGCAATATATAACTGTGCGCCTTTAGGTATAGTGCCTTAGTAGCAATGTGAAAAAAAGAAAGGGGAAAGGAAAAAAAAGTCAACAAGATGGGGGATAGCTAGATAAACAGAAACTGGGGAGTCAATGACAAAAATGCTACCAACTTAAAATTACTTTAGGATCTATTTGATGGCAGCTATATCAAACCCAAGACAACAATTTTAAACAACATTCCCTTGAGGCTAGGATTATGCTGAATATACAATTATTTGTCAACACTGGGTATGGAAACACTACATATCCA